TGCGGCACGGCGTGCGGAGTCCGCGGGCTCGACTGGACGAAGTGGAGCTGCGCAGCGCTCACCCCTCTCGGCTGCAGCGCCGGAGGCGACGGCTGCGCCGGCTGCATCGCCTGGGGCGGCCATGGCTGCCACTGCTGCTGCTGCTGCCGAAGCAGCTGCGCTGCACCTTCGAAGCTGAGCTGCAGCTGGTGCGACGGAAGTTGCTGCTGCTGCTGCTGCTGCTGCTGCGACCCTCCGGGTGGTGCAGAGGAGCACGAGGAGCACGAGTGCTGCGCCTGCGATATCATCGCCTGGATCTGCTGCTGCTGATGCATCTGCTGCTGCTGCTGCTGCGCCTGTGCCTGCGCCTGCGCCTGCGCCTGCGCCTGCGCCTGCTGCTGCTGCTGCTGCTGCTGCTGCTGCTGCTGCTGCTGCTGCTGCTGCTGCTGCTGCTGCTGCTGCTGCTGCTGCTGTTGCAAGAGAGCGTGGATCTGAGCCGCCTATGATCAGGCGCGACGAGGCTGAACGGGGACGCGCCGCCACCTCACACCGCAGGAGCAGCGCAGGAGAGGCGGGCAGGAGAGGCGGGCCTGCAGCTGGTTCTGCAACGCCGGCGGCAGCTGGGCGGGCGGGTAGGAGCAGGCGGGCATGCAAGCGCAAGCCGCCGGTTGCGCCTGAGCGCGTGCGGGGGGAGGGGGGGGGGGGGGCGGTAAACAAAAGGCCAGGTGGCCGGGTCCTAGTGACAGCCCGCACCATTCCAGCGGCGTACGCATACGCTGGCATCTGCATGGCGAGAGGATGGGCCGCGTGCAGAGCTGCAGGTGCCGACGCGGCCGTGCCCTGGTGAGGGAGGGGGCGGGAAGCTTGAGGGACGGAAGCGGTGGTGTGGGGCAGCTGGCTGACACGGTGCCGCGGCGAGGCTGCCCCAGCTGAACGCTGCGCCGCCCTGCGCCGGCCCGCGCTCCTCTGGATTCAGGGGCAGGATGAAGAGTGCGGCTGGCTGGGCGGCGGAGGCGTGGCCTGTTGGGGCTCGCAAGGGTGGAGCAACGTCGGGTGCGCGGCCCACTCCTCGCCCGCGGCACCGCTGCTGCTGCTGTTCGAGGGCACCGACATCAGAGCAATGGGCGCTCGTCGACCCTTCGCCGCGCCGCGCGCTGCAGGTGGTCTGGCTAGCGCGGACACGAACCCGCGCGCGTTCACAGGCTAACGCGCTTCCTACACGGAGCAGGCGCTGCCATGGAAAAAAAGAATCTTCGCACGCAGAAGAAAACTATCTCACACAAAAGACTCGCGCACTGGCACAAACACAGGTTCACGAATTTTAGAAATCCCCCCATAGAAAAAAGAAGTAGGCCGCACATTGCGGATTTGCGGTGCAGCTGGCGTTGCACACCAAGGGAGCCGCCTAAAAAAGAAAGGGTACATTGTTTTCTTTCTTTTAGACTTCGCGCCCGTGCCTGCATCCCTAATACCTCCTCTTGCAAAAGTTATTAGGGACACCCCCCTACCGCCGCCCAGTACGTGCTCCGCAGCTGAGCCCACGCACCCCACAGCAGCTCAGGGACACAGCTCAGCCTTGGCGATCTTGCCGGAGCCCGTCATCGGCAGCTCCGAGAGGGCAATTGCCTCATAGAGAGCCGGGCGCTTATAGTCGGCCAGGTGCGAGGCACAGAATGAACGCAGACACCGGAGGGCTTCATTTGGCTCGTGGTTGTCGGAGTTCTCTCGCAGTACGACAACGGCCTTCACCACCTCGCCCAGCAGCTCGTTTGGCACGCCGTACGCGCAAGCGAGTAGCACCTGCGGGTGGGCTGCGAGCACTCGCTCCACCTCGGCAGAGTACACATTCTCGCCCCCGACGAGAATCATGTCTTTTAGGCGGTCGCAAACTGTCAAGTAGCCGTGCTCCTCCCAGCGGGCGAGATCACCCGTCTTGAACCAGCCGTCAGCGGTGAACGCCTCCGCGGTGGCCTCCGGATTGTTATGGTAGCCCTTGAAGACGGTCGGTCCCCTGATTTGCACCTCGCCGACCTCGCCCATCTGGATCAGAGGAGTGATACCGTCTTTGCCCACCAGACGCACGTCGAGGGCGCCGAAAGGCCGGCCTGATGTGCACACGAGCTCGAGCTGCTTGAGAGGCACGAGACTACGAACCGCCGGCTGATCGAGCAGCGACATCGAGATCTTGCCACAGCACTCAGTCATGCCATAGCTGAGGAAAAACTCGCAGCCAAACGTGCGCGTCGCCACGACGACGAGCTAGCTGCTGTACATCCCCGGCATCGCCTCCCCTGGCTTAGCTAGACTGAGAGATATTGTGCACATGGTTGGTCTCTACAATATATACACTGACACTTCACCTCCCAGAGCTCGTCCCGGTCCGCCACGGCCATCCTCGGCCTCCCAGCGGGCCCCCGGCCGCGGTGCGGTGCGGCGGCGTCACAAACAAATCCGACCACAGAGTACCGGGACGCGGTCGGGCGATCTGAGGCCCAACTAGGCGTATGCATTGCCTATCCAGGGCTATCACCTGGACCCATCAACAGGCGCCTGCGGCGCCGTGCTCAGGAGCTGCTGCTCCAACCTGTTCACACTTTCGTACGGCACAGTACGTTACGTGGGCGCGATAGGACGAACCGAGACGTTGTGCCGTGAGCTGCGTGAGACTCGAGTCACGCTTTTCACGTAAACGCACAACCCCGGGCCCCGAAATCGCACAGTGATGACAGTGACATGCAACACGGGGTCCCAGGGAAGGCGAGCAAAAACCTTATCGCGCGCGCTAGACGCCGACTCGGAGGCCGCACCGGTCAGGCGCGCAGCCGGAGAGAGAGGGAGGCGCTCAATCGCCGAACTCGGCGAGCGTCTCCAGCGTCTCCGCTTCGTACGCACCCTCCTCCCAGCAATTGAGCGCCTCCTCCACCCCCGCGAGGATGGCAGCGACGCGCTCCTTCTGCCGAGCGTTCGCCTCCGCCTTCGCCTCCTGCTTTTCACCCGCGAAGGATACTATGAGGGCACACCGGCGCCGCAAGCACTCGACGTCGATGTGGCGGCCTCGCGTGAGGATGAGCCTTTCGTCGCGGCGTTCGAGCTGCAGACAGAAGTACCGACCGTGCTGAACGAAGTGCGCATCCACGCCGTCGAGTGGGCATGCGATTGCGAAGCAGCATGCAGCGATGGTGATCGCGACTCTGGCAAGCGCCGTTTAGTCCCGCCGTTTATAGTGACTTGCAGCACCGATGGAAGTACTTTTGCGCCGCCCATCGTCACTCACGGCGGAACAGCGACAGGCATGGAGGCGAGGGCGCTCGTCCTACGGAACGCGCCGCGGCGTCGGCTGGCGCGCGATGAGCCTCGCCGCACTGCTGGCCCTGCCTCGAGAGGCGCGCTGGGAGCAGGCAGACCGCCAGGGCTGCGACGACCTGTCGTTATCGATCGCGCGCGCCCTGCTTGAGCGGCAGACCAGCTCTCGTCGGACGGCGGCGGCCACCGCAGGAAGCTGAAGGCTTGGCTAGGGTAGGACGCCGTGCAGGCGCTCGCGGCGTGGTGGCTCGCAGCGCGGCTTGTGGCGGACCACGGCTACACGGAGCCGGAGCTCTACGCCGTCATCGAGGCCGAGTGCTGGTACTCGCCGGACTTGGGCACGTAGGACGGCGACCGCCTCCACTGTGAACCACTTTTGATGCCTAATCTCAAAGTATAGCCAGGGGGGATACCCGTAGCCCCCAAAGTGAACTGCCTGATCGACTCCCCGGCACACGGCGGAGGAGGAGGAAGACAGCACAACCCAGGGCGGGAAGAGCACAATGCTCAGGGTGGGACAAAACACCGACAGACGAGAGAAGAGGCCACAAAACAGACAAGCAGAATGGCAAGAGAGAGACGCTCTGCAGGCGAGCCCACGGGCCTCTTGGGCCCTCGCGTCTCTCTCTCTCGATTCGTTACACCGATTCGACCATCATGCGGCGGGCCGATTTCGACCCATCACAAATGTGGGAAGCCATTAACCTCCCTTGGCTTCCCACACAAACCCCCCTTCATGGGGGGAGCAGCAAATGAGGTAGTCTCTGCGAAATCACTGTCCCAGTGAATTCGCCCTAGAGGCTTCCGTGTGGACTCGCAGCTCCGGCTGGATGTCGGCGACCTAAAGCTCGGCGGTCGTCGCTTCGCGCCGGCCGACTCCCTGTAGGACGGCGACCGCCTCCACTGTGAACCACTTTTGATGCCTAATCTCAAAGTATAGCCAGGGGGGATACCCGTAGCCCCAAAGGTGAACTGCCTGATCGACTCCCCGGCACACGGCGGAGGAGGAGGAAGACAGCACAACCCCATCGCCAATCCTGTCGAGGTCGATCCACCGTCTCGCGCGTGAATCGGCCGCGACCTCCACCTCGAGGCGAGGGCCCACCCTTGTGTCGAGTGCCCCTCCAATAGCTCAGTAGAAGCGCGACGTGTTCTACGGCCGCGACCATCACCATCGTAGGTCCTTGCACTGCGACTGCGCCACCGGCCAAGCTCCAGTGCGGTTGACCCCCATCCAGGAACTGCCCGTCGACGATAGGGCTGTCGCCTCATCCATGCCGCTGACCGCGCCCAGCAGCGGGTGCTCGCCGCTGTCCACGGACGCGGCTCGTCAGGCGGCGCGGTGCCGCCGGCTGCAGCGACGGCTGTCCCGGCCGTCGCGTCCTCGAGAGAGGCGAGCGAGCCGGCAGCCGAGCCCGCATGGCCCTCACCGCCACAGCCGCTCTGCCTGCTGACCTCGCTCTCGCCGCCGCCGCCTGCAGCGGCGCCTCCGCGGCTCCGAGAGGACCCGGCCCGCGGCCGCGCCTCGTCGAGCGCCTCGTCGACGCCCTCGGCGACGCCTCCTCGCGTCGCGTGCCCGTGCGTGGCGACCGCACCGCCGGCAGAGCTCGAGTGGCCCTCCACGCCACCCCGAGACTGCCCGGCGATGGTGCTTTCGTCGCCGCGCGTTGCCGTCGCTGCCTCGCAGCGGCTCTGTGCCTCGGCGCCGAGCCGAGACATGCCAGGCGGCCCGCCGCCGCCCACCGAGACGAGGCCCGTCCCCTCGTCGTGCACCGCGTCGCTCGCGCCTCCGCCAAAGCGATCTCGATCACGCTTTGCGGCGACGGCGCCATCGACGCCGACTTGAGCCGCTGCTCTCGCCCAGCAGCGGGTGCTCGCCGCTGTCCACGGACGCGGCTCGTCAGGCGGCGCGGTGCCGCCGGCTGCAGCGACGGCTGTCCCGGCCGTCGCATCCTCGAGAGAGGCGAGCGAGCCGGCAGCAGAGCCCGCATGGCCCCCGACTTGCGCCGCTGCTCTCGCCCAGCAGCGGTTGCTCGCCGCTGTCCACGGACGCGGCTCGTCAGGCGGCGCGGTGCCGCCGGCTGCAGCGACGGCTGTCCCGGCCGTCGCGTCCTCGAGAGAGGCGAGCGAGCCGGCAGCAGAGCCCGCATGGCCCTCACCGCCACAGCCGCTCTGCCTGCTGACCTCGCTCTCGCCGCCGCCGCCTGCAGCGGCGCCTCCGCGGCTCCGAGAGGACCCGGCCCGCGGCCGCGTCTCGTCGAGCGCCTCGTCGACGCCCTCGGCGACGCCTCCTCGCGTCGCGTGCCCATGCGTGGCGGCCGCACCGCCGGCAGAGCTCGAGTGGCCCTCCACGCCACCCCGAGACTGCCCGGCGATGGTGCCTCCGCCGCCGCGCGTTGCCGCCGCTGCCTCGCAGCGGCTCTGTGCCTCGGCGCCGAGCCGAGACATGCCAGGCGGCCCGCCGCCGCCCACCGAGACGAGGCCCGCCCCCTCGTCGTGCACCGCGTCGCTCGCGCCTCCGCCAAAGCGATCTCGATCACGCTTTGCGGCGACGGCGCCATCGACGCCGACTTGAGCCGCTGCTCTCGCCCAGCAGCGGGTGCTCGCCGCTGTCCACGGACGCGGCTCGTCAGGCGGCGCGGTGCCGCCGGCTGCAGCGACGGCTGTCCCGGCCGTCGCGTCCTCGAGAGAGGCGAGCGAGCCGGCAGCAGAGCCCGCATGGCCCTCACCGCCACAGCCGCTCTGCCTGCTGACTTCGCTCTCGCCGCCGCCGCCTGCAGCGGCGCCTCCGCGGCATCGAGAGGACATGGTCCGAGGCCGCGCCTCGCCTAGCGCCTCGTCGACGCCCTCGGCGACGCCTCCTCGCGTCGCGTGCCCGTTCGTGGCGACCGCACCGCCGGCAGAGCTCGAGTGGCCCTCCACGCCACCCCGAAACTGCCCGGCGATGGTGCCTCCGTCGCCGCGCGTTGCCGCCGCTGCCTCGCAGCGGCTCTGCGCCTCGGCGCCGAGCCGAGACCTGCCAGGCGGCCCGCCGCCGCCCACCGAGACGAGGCCCGCCCTCTCGTCGTGCACCGCGTCGCTCGCGCCTCCGCCAAAGCGATCTCGGTCACGCTTTGCGGCGACGGCGCCATCGACGCCGACTTGCGCCGCTGCTCTCGCCCAGCAGCGGGTGCTCGCCGCTGTCCACAGGCGCGGCTTGTCAGGCGGCGCGGTGCCGCCGGCTGCAGCGACGGCTGTCCCGGCCGTCGCGTCCTCGAGAGAGGCGAGCGAGCCGGCAGCAGAGCCCGCATGGCCCTCACCG